AGGATCCGAAAAAAATGGCAGCAACTTTGGGACGTTGATCTTCACAACAAGTTGAGAAGTGTAAAGCCAAGAATTGAGCATTGGGACTTTACTGGAAATCGTTAAGAGGAAGTTCTTTTGGCTCGCTTCAGAACTGGTCACACTAGAATGACACATAGAAATATTTTAATAGCTGCGACTTACCTCTCGACCGTTTAATCGGAAAAGTAACGATCGTAATTGTAATTTATTTTATTATTAACAATTGTAATTTATTTTATTATTTAAAAGAGACTGGCTTTAATTACCTAATCTAATCTTATTTGAAGATTGTGCATTGTATTTTAATGTTTACCACTTGTGTGTTGTTACCTAGTTTTTATATGACTTCATCCCCGTACCCTTATTTGGAACATTTGTTCCCGTTCCTGTTCTATTTATTAATATTTTTTTTTTTTGAATTCATCAAATTAGAGCATACTACCTCGCGTTTGGCGCGTTATAATCGTCTTTGGTTTTGAGCCAATAATCTCACTCACTCACCCTCCCCTTTTACGCATTAGTAATTTGTAATCTGTTGTTAATTCTCCAATTGTTCTCAAATTTTCTTCACTGTTTTCTTCATGTCCTTAATCAATTTCTTTATGATCCGCTGCTTTCTCTAGGCATATAAAAGTTTTCGCTACACAGATATTTTGCAACAGTTTCGCTCCGGAAGAAACAGAAGTCAAGGATCGAGGAATATTTCAGCTGTGTAACCCCACATTTTTTAACTGGCAAACATTTATTTTTTAATTGGATTATGCGCAGTGTAATTTTAATATATGCAACATATATTTATTATCGTAACGAATAAAAAACAAATTCTGTATTTGCGATTTGATGCCTTGACTGTGTTATGTTAACCACATAACATAGATCATAGAGATAAAAGGAAGAGACAAATATATCAGCAATACATTTCGCCAACGACATATGGCAAATCTTTATTACATAAACGTTCATATAACATGATTCAGGTTTTCTAAAATAATTAAGTAATGTAAGTAAAGGTGCGATCTTTACTTGTTAGGCTTAGTGTTAGTTGTACATAAAAATCTAAATCATTTTTTTTAATTCAAAAACCCTGATAAGCAGACAGTTCAAATTTGGTATCTCTTCACTATGTTTGCATCTTGCTTTTTTCTGCCATACATATTTTTACTAACTCGAGACGAATTTTTATGCATTAAAATGGACGAAAATTGCTAATAGTATTTTAATAAATTCTAGAAAATGTCTTGGTAAAAAAGTATTTGAAGTAAGAAATAAAATTGTAGAATTTATAGAAAAGCATAAATTGAAAATTAATTGGGTTAAGGATCACACAGAAGCGTTGGGAAATGAAGTTGCAGACAACACTGCGAAGGTAGCAACTAAGAGCGATAAAATAGATATTTTTTTTCCACCGACTCAATAGAATACGTGAAAACATTATTGAAGAAAGAAATAATGGAAAACAGCAAGACCGATGGGATAATGATAACACAGGAAGAAAATTATTTCTGATTCTTCGTAAAGTTAAGACAACAAGACTAGTGATAAAAGAATAAAAGGTCAAAGTACAAAATATTTTTAAAAATTTCACAGAAAGAAAGTACAATGTAAATGTGGTTGTGAAGCACAGAATGCAAACTTTATACACTATTTGTGTGAATACAGACAGTATCTATTAGAGAAAAATATTTTTTAATATTTCAAAAGAAAATATAAAGTATTTATTTACAAAAGAAAAATCCAGGTTAAGAATTATAAAAACTGTAAATAATCTAATGGGATATGAATATTTTGAAGTAGATTAATTATGTAGTAAATTTCTAAAATTGTATATTTGTGATTACTTACGTAATTTAGTTAGAAAGATTATGCAGTAAGCAATAATATGTTTCAATTGTGAATTTATGTTAAAAGTTATGTAAAATTAATTTAAATGAATAAGTGATTTAGTGTTTTAGAAAGATGGAAAATCTCGAATTACAAAATTGTTAAAACAAAATATTTAGTTGTATCATATTTTATTTTAACTATTATGTTGAATTTATTTAGAATAAAGGTCAAGGTGACCCTGCTGGCCTGGCCAGCGAATCTTTCTCGGAGGATGAGTTAAGGGCGAGCTTCCCATAATTTTAATTCGGTTAATTAGTTTATTTGGTTCTTTGATTGTTTCTTAGTTTTATCGGTTTGCCAGTATTGGCGGTACGGTTTATAAGTTGAGTTTAGGTTTAGGTTTAGGTTTCCAGTTGTTCGTATTATTATAAAGACTCTTACATAATCCTTTGATTTCAGTTTACTTCCATAATGCAATTATAATCAGAAAAAAAATTTAATCAAATGAAAATTTTCAGCTTTGTATCTGAAATATAAATTATTTAAAGGTTGAATTTTGAGTAAGAGCAACAAGAATTATTTTTTCTATTAATAATTAACCACATTCATTAAAAATACAAAATCCTACTTAATTCACTTGAAACGTTTTGTCTTCTGTTCTCAAAACTGTTTTTATGCATCAGAAAAGTTAGAAATATCTAGCTTTGGCTCTTAGAAAACGCGGCTGTAGTTCTTGAATGTTTTAAAATTCTAATATTCTGTTCCGACTAACAAGAAATATGCCCCCGCTTGCCATATAATATGCGCAAGGCTTAAATAATTTCTGTTCTTTACATTATAATAAAATATATTACTATTTAAGGTAAAATATGCATTACACATATTTGCTTTGTATGCACTTTTCTTTCACGTATCTGTGTCTTCATAGAAATGAATATCTGTTTTCCTTTAGATAGAAATCGCATATGCATGTCGACTGCAACTTGGCGTGAGTTTATTTACCAAAATGTGCTGAGAACATCGAGCACAATGTACCCTCTTCCATCAAATGCAGTGATTTAGGCCGTCATTCATTCTAAACCTATTATCAGTGGGAATGTCTCCCTCCTGATGAAAGCCCTTCACCCCCTTTTACTTTATGCCCCGTTCCATGCCACCGCAGATGGCTGGCATCTGATTCTGACCTGCCTTTTCACTGCTCAGACGATTTCGATGAAAGGCCTCTAGAATTTCACTAAGACCTCGGACATGAAAGTGTAGTCTAGTTACCCTCAACAGAGTGATAAAAATCTTCCCTTTCTGAAGCGTTACGTCCAGACACGTTTTGGAGCTTCTTTTGTTAGATGTACAATTATGTGTTGCATTTATTGGTTCTAAATATAAAATAGCAGACAAAAGCATTGCATGAAATCTGAATTATAGTTAAATTAAGAAAAATTACAAATAAGCATGATAATCTTGTAATTTGAATGCACGTAATATTTATTTTATATATTTATTTTTAATTTTACAATTGGAAGGTCAGCGAAATGCTGCAGAACCATTCTAAAATAATTAATTGAAAGTTAGGTGAATAGCTTATGTTTAATTTGTCTTAACCATTTTTCAGTACCTCGAAGACCCATCACAGACTGAATAATTTAACGTCCCAACAATTTCTTTATTCTATACGCAATACTGATGGACGGGCGTTCCAAGGACTTCCTTGTTACACCTTCCGCCTTAGAAAGAACATTTGTACATACATTTAGACTTTTGGAAGCATCAGTTGTTCAACTTTTCAAGGACAGTCTTTTCTCAGCATGACTTGCATACACTAATAATACCAGAAATCAGTGATCTCAGAAAGTCCTCTCAAGTGGCTGATGGTAGAGGAAGAGCGGCGAGAGATTCTCTAATCCCCCCGGGTTGTTCTTCCTCAAAATTGGGAAGCTTAACAGTTGGCTAGATTCAGCAATACCTCAATTACCTGTGGTACTACGGAGCTGCTGGCCTAGCTTCTACCTGTAGGCAAATAAATTTACAGCCAGAACATAGGGAATATCTTCAAGATTTCAAAAACTCTGGTATCATACATTGATTGAGAAAATTCTCCTACATGGTAATCTACTAAAAAAAAAGCGGTTAACCGTGTCTAAATGAGGGAAAGCCATGAAAACAGCCCTCATACAGTTACGAGCTGAAGGCATTTTTAAAAATTAACAGTTACTTAACAAACTCTAAAATTTAAAATGTAATGTAAATTATTATAAATTATCAAATCAAAGTAATGCATATGCTTTTCATTCTTTAATTCAAGGTAAAATCATTGATAATCTTTACTCTCGTTAGTTTTCTGTCTAAATATCATGACAGTGTATGTTCCAATTACCTTCCAGACTCTGTTAATCCCCCCCCCCAAATTGTCGGTTTTGAAAGTTGTAAGCATTAAATACGAAAATATTTTATAGTTCAAATGAATTCAGAGTTTCTAGTAATAATTTTGCTGGTTTTTATTTCCCAGATTCTGTACGACATTAAAAACGGGATCTATGTTTCAATGAATCTACAAATATGACACATCAAAATGTCATTTTCTAGAATTTCTTATAAAAATGTTTTGTCTTTTGATTAAATAATATTTTTACTGCTATTTCCATCTTTTGTAGATATACTTAGTTGTGTTTCAGACAGCTTTATGAATAGCTGATTTTGTTGATATCAGCTTAGTAAACACGTCAACACAGCTGCTTGTTGTACCTCAACCACTTTTACTGGTTAACAGTCATTAATCACTTTTGTTGACGCGACAAAATGGTTTATATTTCTTAATAAAGAATACGTTTATTTGTTTCTAAACCTAGGAGTTAAACAAAATTTAATTTGAGAGAATAAAACACATATCTCTTCGCGCGTGTATCTGTATATTTCATACTTTCAAATTAACTTACAAACTTATCTCTATATTATGAATACTTTGTAATACATCATACTATTACTTAATCATAAATATCATCATATATTACATAAAATAATTCTCGAAGAAATGCTCTGTTGCTATATTTTGCATTTAGTATTACATTCAAATTTTAGGGAATTAATTTTATGCTACATGTTCTATGTTCACTGATATCATGTTATTTTAAATATTTAAATAAATATTCGTTTTTACGTAGAAGTGAAGAAGAGATTATGAAGGAAAAAGAGGATCTTCGGAACGCGGCGTGGTTCCAAGCAGGAATACCTAGGTAAATCTGTATTTCAAAATTTCACCACGAGGTTTTGATATCATTTCTCTTTACATTTACTTTATAAAGTACTTCTCCTGCCTTCTTAGCGTGCCTTCGTGGTGTAGTGGTCTGCATGTTGGGCGAGTATTCCACAAGTCCGTAGTTCGATTCCCGGCGAGGGCGTTGCTCATTTTTCATCTTGCCTGCTTCCAAAAAATAGCTAATGTCTGTACAGTGGCGCCCGAACTAAAAGGGCGGTGGATGATGATTCTCCACACTCAGGATTTGGCGAATAAATCCCTTAAAACCCCAGTCGCCCTTTAAAAGGGGGAGTATATAATGTATTTCTCCCCCCTTCTTAGCGTTCTGCATTCTGGGCGCGTATTCCAGAGGTCCGTGGTTCGATCCCCGGCGAAGGCATTGCTCATTTTTCATAACCTTCTGCTTCAAAAAAATACCTAATGTCTCTACAACTTTAAGAGCAAAAGAAATCTCAGTCTATTGTAATCAGTTGGTGGTTATGTGCAATATGATCGCCATCTTAAATGCCATCGTCTTGAGTCTTGCGCCGAATTTTCAAAGGCGAAGGGGGCATGTCCAGCTTGAATTGCTTAGAACAGCATGTCTTAATCTTCTTTTGATAAGTGGAACCTTGTATAACGTACACTTTTATCGTGGGCCCCCTAGTTTTCTTCAATAGTATGATTTTAACGCCACGTTCTGTAAACTGATTATTTACAATAAGAATGACTTTTTTTTTTTTTTTTTTTTTTTTTTTTTTTTTTTTTTTTTTTCAGATTACATTTATTTGTTTCAAAATGTAATTTCAAATTTAACCAAAGTTCTTAAAATAACTTAAAATATCGTATTTGAAATAACATATTTGTATTTTAAATTTTAATTTTAATAAGATCAGTGGTACTGTTTTTTGTTGTCGACTCTAAAGTCATCAGGTTATTTTAATGGCCAAATACTGGTGGTGAAGAATCAACCATCCACCATCTTTTAGTTCGGGCGCCACTGTAGAGTTATTAGGTTATTTTGACACAGGAGAAATGAAAGATGAGCAATACCATATACAGACTTTAGGTTATTATGAAGCAGGAGACAAGAAAGACGAGCAATGCCCTCGCCGAGACTCGAACCTGGACTTCTTGAATACGCGCCGAGTGTGCTACCGTTATACCACGGAGGCATGCAAAATGGAGGGAGAAAATACTTTATGAAGGGAAGTATTTTATTTGTTTTCGACACATAAGATGAGAACCTCGTTTCTCACATGCATGTACTGCAAAACGTATCAACATATAAGCAAATACTAGGAGGCATATAACAATACTACCGAACGTAGTAGCATTAGGCTTAAAGCAAAAACATGGCCAGAAGGCAGAACACCCTCTATTAGGGCCTCTAAAGCTATTCCACTGAAGTGACCGAGACCTCAGCTTAAATACTGGTTATACCTCATTAACATCAAACACGATCCTGAACTTATTGTGGCAGGGAATTGTATATGGGAAATAAAGAAGTAAAGGGCAGCTTATTCAAAAATGAAAATAACAATTAGAAAATTTAAATAAAACCCTACATCTTATATAATAGTATATGTGATGTGATGCTTTAAGAATCAATAAAGTTTACCAATAAGCAAAAAATTTAAAAATGTTGGTACGTTTTTAAAGTGATCTTCCTTTCCTTCATTGAGGGATCTTATGTGGTCTGATTGAGTCCTTGGATATTAATTTGAGGAGTATGCCCATGAACATGTTGATAAATTTGTGTTCGTGGGGAAGACAGTGGGACTGGAAGTAAATTAGACTGGCATTTAAGAGCTGTGAAAGAACATGACTAGAAGCTGTCCATTACCGAATCGACAGCTTTGCATCACCATTAACAGCAAGAAGACATATTTTCGGAAGAGATTTTGTCCGACAAGGAAAGAAAAGAGACGGAGGGATCAATTAAATAAAGTACAGAATTAAGTAAAATACATTGTTGTTGTTGTTGTAACTTATCTCACTTGTCTAACAGTAACATCAGAATAAGCCCACGGAATTCAGCGTGGCAAGAAGTGCAAGGTTGCGCCTGTCGTTGGAAAAAGCCTTGAGCACCATACAGGTGACAGAAAGTACGACTTCGCTCAATTCTGCCCCCAATTTTGATGGAGAGCATCTGGGTGAACGGGTCCGAGAGTCTCCCACCCCTCTTCCCCTACCACCAATCTCTCTAGACGACTTTCGTCTCGGCGCATATTTAAAGTGCCCCATGCCACACGGACACCCTACATTTACAAACATCCATGCCTTTTCCGGAATTCGAACCCGGGCCCTTCGGTAGGCTCCCCTAACCACTATACCGTTCGGGCGGCTAAGCAAAATTTTATGTAAGTATCACACAGTGCAGTGCAGTGCAGTGCAAGCGGTGAATGCAGCGAAATATCTGTAAAATCCGAAAAGTAGGCAGAAATAACTGCCACTGCGCAGATTCCTTATTAAAGTCGCACAGAAAGGATAAGATTCAATGAACCAATAAACAGCAATTCTTTTAGTCAGCCAAGGTTTCCCCCCCCCCAAAGGTAAAAAGCAGTTTATTTATTTTTTTTATTTATTTATTTCGAATGCTTTAACCCTTTCCGGTACACTACCTTTTAAAGTCGGTCGAAGTTTTGATAAAAGAAAAAAAGGTAGGCAGTCTAATTAGGCCTAGAGGAGTACACAAGTAAAATTTTGTGAAGATAGCACTTATCATTTTAATTCTGTGGGTGTGCCCAAAGTGCACACTGATTGAATAGAGCTTCGAAAAGAGTGCTGAAACGAGCATTGTTGTCAATGAACTGACCGATGAGATACGGAGAAAGAAAGAATACAGACTCTCAATTGTCCTAGATTATCGGTGAGCCTGCTCTGGGCACACCTAGGGTTCGCCGTTTGATTTTAGGCAAGATTTCAAGGTAAAAATTTAAAACTAATATCGAATAAAGAGATTAGTATACAGCCAAAAAAATAACATAGAAATTTCTTTTCGAACAATTCCTTTTATACCCTAAAAAAATATGGAAGATTTCTTTGAAAAATGAGGGTCTTAAAAACTAAACATGGCTAAAAATATATGGACTGGTTGTGTTGAGCTGCCATCTACTATAAATAAAGAAGGTTCAGAATAACCTATAAACCCTTTTTCATTTAATTTTTCTGTGCGTACAGAAGGAAATTTTTAGGTGTGTCCAGACCGGACACACTGTGCCGCAAAGGGTTAATAATAATTTTCATATGAGTATTTTTTGAGTTCCGGAATAAATCACCTGTTTCCATTATTTCTTTTGGAGTAAATCGCTTTATTACTCGAGCATGTTTCTGAAATGAATTATGCTCGCAAACCGAAGGTACTGTTGTAATTGCTTCAGAGCCACTTAACAACAATTTTGTTTATTATAATCTTCGTTCATTTATCGTACTCGGATGTACTGATATATTATGGCCTGATTCATATGGCCAAACTCTGATAGCGCTTGGCCAAACTCTGATAGCGCTTCTGCAGCGCATCGCGAGACAATTTCTGGTGCGTCGCATGAAAGTTTTATTATTTTTTGCGGAATTATAAGTATTTATTTATAATTATTAATTAATAAACAATTATTATTTAATTATTAATAATTATAGACAAATATAAATGTTGATTAAATAACTACATTATTTTCCTCAAAATCTATTCTTTATCTTTATTTTTTTTTTTTTTTTTTTTTTTTTTGTAGTGAAACTTAAATGCGTGCATCTCGAGATCAGTCGCAAGTACATCATGCGAATCGCAAAGTGGAGGAAAACTGAACAGCTCTCTTTATTTGATTGTCTGGTGCTGCCATCTATCATAAAGAAAATTAACTACTATTTAAATTTCATTTTCTTACTCAATTGAAGTTAAGAGGAATATTAAATTTCTGTTCATTGTAAAAACATTTTCTACTTTTAAGAGCTTTATACATTATGTTTTAAATCACGATGCATAATTAAGAGAAATACTGTTAATATAAGATGTAAAATTAGACAAAAATAACCTTAGATTGGGTAGAACCTTCCCTTTAGGGCAGTTTGTCTTAGATCTCACAGGCTTTGTTATTCAGAGGAGGGGAAACACTTTATGTATAACTCCTGCGCTCTATCTTTTTTCTTTCTAAATTAATAATTTTACTTAATATCTGAATTAGTTTAAGGTTCCACTTTTTACACTAATTTTACAAGTATACGTAATGCATTTGATTTAGTACCAACACACAATCTTTATAGTCACCTGTAGTTTCAAAATCATGATTTTTCGTTTTCTTACATCATTCCCCAATTAATTTTTATCTGCTTAAATTCTAGGGAAATTGCTTTGGAAGTTCTGGCTGAAAAACCTGAAGGATCTTTCATCGTTCGAGAAAGCACTACAAAGCCTGGCTGTTATGCCCTTTCACTTCGAGTGCCGCCTGGCCGTAATCCTACAGGAATAGCCCATTACCTTATTCTGCACACAGACAAAGGCTATAAAATAAAAGTAAGCAACTCTCGTATTAAATCTAAAAAAATACATTTCTTTTCTGTGTTGCAGTGCATTCGGCTGTATGGATTATACTACATACAAAATGATTATAATTTAACCCAAAGTGAAAAAATTACTAGTTTATATCTGTCTCTGTGTTATTCAGACAAAACAATATAACTTCAATAATCGTATCGAATTTCACTTAGTTCTCTAATTCGTATTTATGATTGTTATTCTACAAAATAATTTGTTTCTGTGATTCATCAAATAACTTAAAAAGCTTTCTCTTGCATTGTCAAAATACAAAAAGGTCCAAAAGTTACCAAAGATTTCAAAAATTTATAAACAGTAAGCAACTGGATATAGCGAAGCGTAGTTTGCACAAAAAAAGGGAGTTTTTACTGGGGTAAGGGTTGAAAGAAAAATGTGTAGTTTAACTTTTCACCTACAGAGGGATTCATCCCCTATTTTAACTATTGATTTATTTAGAATGTACTTCTAGCCCTCTGAACCAAATCATCAAATGAGCCCTCAAGGATCAAGGATCAAGGAAGTGCAATTTACGGAGTTCATAGGCAATTACGCCTTTACCTCCACATCTTCAAAGGAAATTAAATCATCCAAAAGAGGGTATTGTCAAATAAGGTAAAAATTTTGATAAGCCGAATGACTTGGAGTAAGTGCCTTCACACTGAGTCAAAAAAAGGCAAAAACTCAGAAGGTCTTAATTTTGCGCCGAAAAAAGGGCCAGAATAATTTAGATAGGGGCAGCCAGAAAATTTTGACTAGAAAAATAAAAGGTGAAGTTTCCTTGAACCTTGATAATCATTTTCTTTGCATACGTCAGATGAAGGACACGCAGGGGAATTCCGATGCGCGTTCTTCGAGGTGGGAGGGAGGGGGGGGAACCTGTTTACAGGTCGAAAAAGTAGTTCTCTGTCAGTGATCAGCTGGGAGGGAGAAGTTTCATTTTTGACCGCTATTCAATTGCGGTTTTTAAAAGCCAAAAAGGACGCTGTTAAGCGCCTAAGAAAGTTCCTTTTTAAAGGAAAGGAAATTAAAGTTTAAAGAATCTTTTTAATTTAAAAATCTTTTACAGTTCTATTTCATTTGATTAGTTAAAGTATTTTAAATCAGTCCTGTTTGACTGTGATGTTTCTTATTAAAGAAACGTTAAAGGAGGTTCCTCGAGTTATGCCGTGCGCATTAAAGAACTTTAGAAGCGGGGGGGGGGGGGTTAAGGAACGAGAGGCACGTGGCTATCAGTGTGCTCATATCTAGCCCGTTTAAATGGCAGAGCTGAATATTCCCTATTAAGAACCGCTCTGGGTCTTTTTCGGGAAGAAGCAACAGCAGGATCGTATACGGGTAGCATATGAAGCACAGGATTTGCAACACGTTGAATATTTTTGAAAAATTTTTCCGAAAGTCGCTGTATATAGCGATTAATGGGCATAATTTTGCAAATGAGCCCTTATCATTTAAGCCCTCTGAACCAATCAGAAAAGAGCGCTAAATTTCAAGAAGTCCTGCAAAGGAAATCATAACTGCATGAAAGAAATATTCAGATATCCACATTTTTGCGGGGTGTGAAATTAAAAGAATTTTATAAATTTCTTTTAATTTTATATCCTTAACTCCTATTCTACGGCGAATCTTGCCTTTTTTCCGCACGTTCAGAAACTTCAAACGTTTCTTTTTTTCACACACGGGACACCGCCAGTTCCTCATTTTAATTGAACGCAAAAGGCAATATCATTTCTATCGATAATCTATAAGCGACATTAAAACATCCCCTTCTGTTGCTTTCTTTTTCCTCTTGACCATCCCTTCAGGACACAGTTGCAGTTATCACACCCTATTTCGTCTTTCTTCTGAGCATAGAGAATGTTACGCAAAGGTGGAATTAATGTGTTCAATAAATCCATTATTAATTTTAAATTCTTAAACATTAATAATTGGCAGCCTAATTTAAATTTCTATCATTTGTACTTTGCAGATGAGAGGCGAATATACCTCCTTTCTCAACGCTGAAAGGAAACAGTTGTATTCGAAGGTTTCAAACCTCTTTTGGTTCAATGAGTTCTATATAATTACATTGAAGCTTCCCTGAAATCACTCACGACTCCCTGAGCACTCACGATTTCAGAGGATTTTGGTCGTCGATGGCAGTTTCCGCCTTAAAGAACATTATTTTCGGTGATATTTAATATCGTTTTTTAATTATGCTTTTATCAATATTGATCACCTTCAGAGGTAGTCGTCTCAGTAAGGTGGTCGCGTGTAATTAATTATATTTGTTAGCTCTTCTTTTCAGTCATAAAACAATTTAGTTTGCTTGTTTTTAAATTAATAAATTACATTAAAAATAAAATACCTTAAAAGGAAGCTTAAAAGGAAGTTCGACCGCCTCATCCGCAACCATGAACGCAAACACGCATGCGCCATTCGGACCGAATTATTCTCAAAACAGGGTGAAAGGATGGGGCCTTTCCAATCAACCAGCGGCCAATCAGGATATTCCAGCATCGAAACGTACCCCTCCGATCATTGTGAAGGACATATCCTTTCACTTTATCAAGTTGCAAGGCATTTTGGCTGGTTATAATCTATCCCCGTGTAAGGACTATCATGGGCAACAAATAAAGGGAGGATTTAAAATTCAGGCGTACAACCCGACAATTTATAAACAACTAGTGAAAGTTTTGAAAGATGAAAAAATATCCTTCCACTGCCTTGAACTCCCGGAGTCAAAGTTAGTGAAAGTAGTAATCCGACATTTGCCATCATATGTGACCTGCGCCGAAATAGCGGAACAACTAACAGATCGTGGATACAAAATTGAACGAGTCGACCAGCTAAAGAGACGACGAGACGGAGAAATAATTAATTTGCCGTTATTTCTAGTCACGCTGGAAAAGAAAGAGAAAAGCAGCAAAGAAATTTATCACGAAAAATTCATGCTCGGCATGAAGGTTGAAGTGGAGAGATATAAAGGAAGAGCAGGCCCCCTGCAGTGCTTCCGCTGTCAGGGCTTCCACCATGCTCAAAGTCACTGTAATCACGACGCTCGCTGTGTTAAATGCGGCGAAAAACATCAATCCTCTATGTGCACAAAATCCAAGGATACTCCTCCTAAGTGTGCCAATTGTAATGAAGTCGGGCACACTGCGAACTACAGAGGGTGCGTTAAGTTTCCCAAGCCTAAAGCTGCTGTGCAAAAATCTTACGCGGATAGATTTGTTACCAACAAATCATACTCAAGTGCACTCACTGCAGGACTGGCTCCCGAAAGTGTCACGGAAGCTAAGCAAGTGCTTCATGAACTGAAAACTTTCGTTGCACTTATTAAGGACTCGGGGTTACCCCTACTTTTTAAACAACTAGCACATGATAAAAACACAACTGAAGATAGCACCGAAGAGGCAGCCAAATAATGGACAATCGGCCCACAAGTGTTACCCCAATTAAACTCTGCATCTGGAATGCAAATGGACTTAATACCAAATTTTTAGAATTTCAACATTTCATTCAAGAGCATGATGTGGACATTGCATTAGTTACAGAAACTCATGCACAAATGTGTCACCGGCTCAAAATTGCAAACTTTAGAGACTACAGATGTGATAGGACTAGTCATCGTGGTGGTGGTGTATGTATATATGTTAAAAATATCTTTCTTTTCTTCATGTTTAATTAGTGTATCAAGAAACTTTAATATGGAAGTTGTCACCGTATGTGTAGTACTACCTACTTTCAACAAATTGTATTTTACTGCGTGCTACAATCCTCCTAATAATAAGCTTACAGATTTAATTTTAAATAACCTCTTACCTTCCAACTTACCTACAATTCTAGCTGGAGATTTGAACGCTAAAAATGTTGCTTGGAACTGTCGAAGATCCAACTTAAATGGCAAAGTTTTACATAACTTTATTATCAATAATCCAGTTTCCATTTATGTGCCGGATGACTTCACCTATCGTCCGGAACGCATCGAATTTTCAGACATACTGGATATTGCACTTTCCACAACGACACTTCCTATGGTCTTAGACGTGAAAAATGAACTTTCCTCTGACCATCTTCCTGTACTGGCATATTTAGGAATCACAAAGACAATTAATGGAAAGTATCGCACCAAAGTTGATTGGACTCTTTTCCAAAACGTTTTAGTGACAAGCAATTTGGCTCTAGGTAATCTTAATGACACAAATGGCATCGATAAAGCAATCAGTGACGTAACGCAGTCCATCCAGGTGGCGATCACGGAGGCTACTGAACATCTGAGCGCTAAGGAAAATGCTTTTCGCCTCCCCCGGAGCACACGTGAAAAGATGCGGCAACGCAATAGGCTCCGCAAAGAATATCACCTGACATGAGACCCGCAAATCAAAAGCGCGATTAATCGACTTGGTAAAGAAATTAAATACGAAATTAATAACTTCAAAAATGAAATCTGGGCAGAAAAAATCTCTAATCTCAATACTCAGGATGGCTCTCTTTGGAAAATTGTCAAAAATTTTAAAAATACTTACGCAACGAACAGACCCATTATGCACAATGGAAACCCAGCCATTACGAATGAAGAAAAAGCGAACTCCTTCGCTACACATCTGGAAGAACAATTCTCGCCTAACTTAACCCCTTGTGATGCAAAATTTGAACAAGATACTCTCATTAAAATTCAAGAATGGCTTAACTCCCCTACTGTTAATAACCTAATCCCGCTCACTACTCCGGCAGAAGTATCTACAATAATGAAGAAACTCAAGCCCAGAAAAGCTCCAGGAATTGATGGAATTACTAATCAATCTATTAAATTACTGCCTCTTAACTTCATCTGCAAAATCACCAGTATCTTTAATGCAGCACTGACTAACTGTTATTTTCCTACCGCATGGAAAACTGCAAAAATTGTCATGATCCCAAAGCCGGGAAAAAAATCACACCCAGACCGATGGTTACAGGCCAATTAGCCTCCTGCCGGTCCTCAGTAAAATTTTCGAGCGCATCATACTCTCCAGAATCCAACACCACCTGGATGCACTTCCTCCGGAGCAATTCGGATTTAGAAGAAATCTCTCTACTACTAAACAACTGGTACGCATTATCGAATTCGCAGGCTCGGCTCTGCATAACAGACAAAATGTGGCTATCCTCATGTTGGACGTGGCGAAAGCCTTCGACCGCGTCTGGCATGAGGGATTAATTATCAAACTAATGAGCTACAACTTTGAACCCGAACTACTTCGCATCCTTCACTCGTTCATCACTGAGAGGAACTTTAAAGTCTGTGTCAACGATGCTCTCTCCACTGAAAGGAAAATTAAAAGCGGCATCCCTCAAGGCAGTGTTTTGGGACCTGTAATGTATATTTTCTACGCTGCTGATTTTCCCAAAATTAGCTCTACCAACTCCATCCTTGCCTGCTATGCCGACGACACGGCTATTGCCGTGAAATCAGCTAACCTCAACCACGCCATCAAAGTCCTACAGAACTTCACCCCATCCATCGAAAACTGGTGTAGCAAATGGAAGATCAAAATTAATGCAAGTAAATCACAACTATTGCTCATCAGAAGAAGAAAACGAAACCGCCCTGTAAATAACAACCTTTTCCTGTTTAATGAAATTGTTCCCATAGTTCGCCAGGCCAAATACCTCGGGGTCACTATTAATGATAAGCTTACCTGGACACCGCACATTAACAATGTCAGGAATCAAGCCCTGAAAGTCATTAATTGTCTCCTACCCATCTTAGGAAAATACTCCAATCTTGATCTACGCAAGAAACGACTTATCTACTTGACTGCTGTGAGACCCATCCTCACATATGCATCTCCTGCATGGACTGCGGCAAAACCTGCCGACATTAATAAACTGCAAATTGTGCAAAATAAATTCTTGAGAATCGCTACAAACGCCCCTTACTATGTGAGGAACTCTGTGTTGCATAGTGATCTACGTATTGACACCTTAAAAGATTTCCTGCACAAGAGCAACGAAAACTTTTTTCAAAAAGCATTTAACTGCAGTCAGTTAAACTTTTTTCAAACCTTAAACTATGAAATCCTTGCAGAAGACCAATTTCTACGTCCGTTTGCTGCATTTTCATTAAATGCCGACGATAATCATCCTACTTAATCTCCCAAAACCAAGCAGCATCCGTCGAAGCCACAGTTCGGGAGGGTGGCCCCTCACGTGACCTAGGACTTAGAAAATTTCTATCTCTGCTTTGGATCACTCAGTGCTACTGAAATGACTGCACATATCTGTACATATTTTACTTTATTACTTTATTTTTATTCTATCCAATGTGTATATATTCCTCAATAAGCTATTTACAACTGCATATTTTCTGTCAACTGAGCACTACTGAGACTGATGAACTCTGTGCTATGCCACGCCCAGTGCTCATAAATTTTGGACTTTGCAGCAATTTCACGAACTGTTAGTGAAAAACTCTTGTGAAATCCATTGACTGGAACTCTTGCCCTTCAGAGAAAAATATGTTTTCATTATTTGAATGACAAATATTTAAAAAAAAAAAAACAAGTTTTCTTAGCCATCACATGACATGGCTCCACTTTTGACTTTCTACGCTAACATTGTATATTTGTAAATACTCATATTTAACCAAGATTCAATTATGGAACTTCATTCTGAATAATTTTATTTTATTTTTGACTTTCATCATTTCAACTTTTTTGCATATTTGTATCTGATTTGTATTTTACACCACCCCACGATGTTACACTCTTTAGTGGCAAAGTGCTACACTTTCCCTTATTTTCACATCTTGTCTCTGCGACACCTTTTGTTCTGTTTTTTAGTACTTCCAGGAACCCTTATTTAAACGACAACTGGCAAAAAGCCTGCAATCCACGCAGGCTAAGTCCCTATAATCGAAAGGAAGATGGCTTCCATCAATCCGTGATTCCGCGAATATCATACTATTTGTATGACGTGTTCCGGCTCTTTGAAATAACTGCCCTGCGGGCCGCTTGACAGTAAAGTTTTCCTGGTGTTTGAAAGCGAGGTTTTCATGGTGAGAAGGGGAGACCGCAAAAGAGCACAAGTCTATAAAATAATAAAACAGCACGTCCTGGAGTGGGAATAATAAAGTGATGGTAGGCAGTGACGTCATGTCTAGTCCGGAAAATTCAGTTAGGTGGGAAAATTCTGATTTTTGGCAAACACATGAGCTACAAGAGGTCGGAGATATCTATCCTTATTCAGTAACTCATAATGGAAGGCTCCAAAATAAGTAAGGAAATCGCATTGTTTGGCAGAGTCGAAGAATTTCCTATTTGTTAAAAGGAGATAGTCTTTTACATATTCAATTTTCAGATCCTGATGAAGTTGTTCGTATCTCACAAAGTAGTGCGCATTTGTCATGCATCTTAGGATTTTAAACTGCAGAATTTGTAGCTGGTTAATGTTTACTTCCTTTTGCAGCGGCCCAAGCAGGGAAGGCATAAGTCATTATTGGTCTTATGACTGAGAGATAGATATGCCTTTTCTTGCCCAAGTATTCTTGAGTATTTACTTAGTAGTGGGAGAAGGCAGTGGAAAACATAATTAGCTTTCTTCTTGACATGTTGAATGTGATTTCCCCAGTTGAGGTTGTCATTAATTATAATTCCGAGATATTTTGCTTGTTTGACTGTCGGGACCGACTCGTTAAAGATCAGAAGTTGTTTCCTCGCAGGTTGGGACTTTTTCTTTCGTCTAATGATTAATAGTTGGGACTTTTGTGCGTTGATGGAAACTTTCCATCTCCGGGACCAGTTTTCAATTTGAGGGATGAATTCCTGATGTTTGCGAATAGCGTGTTTGGTATTTGCCGACTTAACCGCCATTGCGGTATCGTCCACGTAGCAAGCAAGCATCGAATTCGAATTTGTAGGAGTTGGGAAGTCGGCAACGTAAAAGAGATATAAATATGGGCCGAGGATACTGCCTTGGGCTACTCCTCCGAGGATAGGTGTTTTTTCGGAAGTGTGCGTACCCACAGATACACAGAAAAATCGATTTCGAAGAAACGAGTGGATGAGCAAGATGGATCTTGGGCGATGGAAGTGAATGAGCTTTGCTATGAACCCCTCATGCCAGACCCGATCAAAAGCTTTCGCTACGTCTACCATGAGGAGTGCAACATTCAGCTGGCTACCGATGAATATCGTGCTGCACTGATAATATCCGTAATCCTCACGAGTCGCTTGGCAATTGAAAGCTGTTGTCTGAAGCCAAATTAGGGCCTTTCTTTCCCTCGAGGATATAAATTCTCTCTTTCTGGAAATCTTCACGTGACCTTTGACGTCACAGCAAATAATAACGCCCCTTTTGGGCGACGCTATGTGTTTTGGCAGAATGCCAGCCAAGGTTGCGTTTGAGACGGTCGAAATACACATAAAATTCTGAGATAGGCCTGCTTTGTTTCCGTCAAAGAATTTGAATTAACATCTTAGCTGAAATTAAGTGGTAAATTAAAAAAAGAAAACAACTCCGCTTTCTTTCATTTCCTATCTAACTTTAAAAAGACCAGTAAACATACGATTATGCAACACATGTAAAATTAATTTTGTCATTCGATGAATAAAATAGAAAGATTATCTGATAATAAAGTTTTATGTTATCTTTACAGGGATTTACCAAAGAATTCTCCAGCCTAAGCGCTCTGATAACACACCATTCTGTGATGCCAGAACTACTTCCTTGTCCACTCTCCTTATGTCGTCATTCAACCAGGGACGCCGAAAAAGAATTTGAAGAGACAGAACAAAAGAAATGTGACATATTTTCGGACATTCACTGGCTTATGACCGATTTAGAATTATAGAAACCATAGGACATTTCTATGCTGTATATCTAAAACCGAAGAGTGATTTTCTAAATATTTCTATCTTTTTCATTCTGCAACAGCCGCAGAAGTGAGTCTTGATCTGTAAATTAAATGCTGAATGAAAGTACCAACTTAAGTGCTAGTCCAACATTTGTATAGAAATTGTACTTGTGAATTTCTGTACAATTTTTTTACTGCTTTTTCTGAATTACATTATTTTGCAATTAATAATTTCAAAAATATAAATGCAACTTGGAAAATTTTAGTACGAACATCCAAAAAATTATAAATAAATAAATAAACTATACTTTGACGATATTAGTAATAGTATGGTAATATAAGCAGTATTAGCAATTTGTACACTACTTGATTCAAAAAGGAAATAGCGTACTTGATTCCATTAATAAACGAAAACTAAGCGAGAATCAGACTTCAGCAGCTCCCAGCAATCAACCCAAGCAACTCAGCTTCCAGGCAAAAACATATAGAGAAATAAAAACTCGCTTTTTTTAAGTTTATATATTTTTCGCCTTTACATGTTATGTGTTGTAAAAATACAAAGTTTTTATACAGATATTAAATTCAAACCTCACTTCAACAGATATTGCAGCAAAAATTTTGAGCATAAAAATTAAACCTAACAAAAATTACTTCATGCATTTGGAAAACGTAATTCTGGAATGTGTCATAGAATGTAATTTAATGTATATTTAAAAATAGTCATTTGCATAATCTGATTTTTAAGACCTGACAATGATTTTGAAAAAAAAAATATAATATTGATATTTAGGTAATGCTTTAAAATTTTCATAATTAGCAAACTTAAAACTAAACTTCCTCGAAGCTTCCAAAGCAGTCTAAATAATCAAAATTTAAAAACTGCAGCTTCTCTTAACCTATTAAACATATATTGCTATTTAAGTCTTAAAAAAGGTGATGATATAGTGTCAAAATTAAATTTCTAATTTTTAAGCAGTTAAATTTTCTGTTCAGATTTTTCCAACTTTTGTACACACAGTACACATTTCTTGTACACAGAAGTAACATACTTATAAAGGAAATAAAACTAGGATTATGGCTTGAAGTCTTCACTATCTAAATATTATATTCTATCAGTACAAAAGCTATACAAAGGTCGTATCGAAATATAGAATTGCCTATCATGCCATGGTAATCATTAGAATGAAATTAGCATCTTATTCCTATATATAAATAATAAAAATGAGATTAAATAATGCATATTTTTAGCTAACAATCAACATTTAAAATGCATAATAAATTAAAAACATCTGTGAATGATAAAACTATGATCTTAAATGAAAATTAGATGTGCTTCAATCTCTAACATATAATTAAAAAAAAAAAAAAAAAAGTCTGTGTGTCTTTCGTTCGTGCTACAAAATTTGGTACGTAGGTGCATCTAGACAAGAACCACTGCACCTCGAAGTGACTTTTTCAAAATTCTAATCAGATTTTTTTTTTTTTTTAATTTTTATTTTATCTTTTCGATTTTATCGCATCATTTTGAACAGTTTCATTCTTTTAGAAATGTGGTTTTGGCGACAGTTTTTCATTCAATTGTATACTGGACTACTGACTGTTAAAAATCAGCACTGCTGCCATTGAGAAAAATGATGGCGATAATTCTGTGCAGTTTTTAAATTTAATGTTTCGCTTGGATACTGGACGTTTGTTGAGAGAAGGCAACGGAAATTTGATTAATTTATTTATTAGGATAATTAATATTTGTGTTACGAGATATTGCTTATTTCATTGTAATTTTGTTATATGTAATACATTTTTTAAAATTTTTTTAAAAAAATTTTTATGAAGTTGTTCTGCAGAGTAAAATTCTGCGCAGTTTTTTCCCATCAGGCATTTTTCCGATTCACTTAAAAGCCAGACGAAGGCTGGCCGTGTTGCTGCTAGTAATTAATACAAGTAAGTTTTGGGTTCGCATTAACTTCAGATTAAAGGATACAGGAGAGACAAATAACTATTTTTCATTTAATCTGTTTCAAGTAAAATTACGTGATTTTATTTTAGTTTACTGGCAACCCTGTTATCATATGTTACTCGAGAATTATGAAATTTTACAGGTAACTACAATCTAATGCATTCTATCATACTAGCTGAAGCTGAAATCTAATATTATTAGTATCTAATAAATTCGTGAAATGTCACTTTCTAATTAGTAGAAATGTTACCTAGTAATAAAGGAGCAAAATAAAATAAAAATAAAAATAAATAAAGTCTGAAAGTATTCAGGTTTTATATTACGCCCAAAGGGGCTTTTTTTTTTAAACGTTTTGTGTGTTTGTTACCTTTATTTATTAAAAATCGTTCTTACACTTAAAACATAAAATTCAATTCAACAGCAATATCACAAAAAAGTAATATTATATCACACTAAAGAATAAAGGTGATTCTCGCATGAAGACCATGCTATACAAGTTTTCTCTTATTTTTATTCGCATCTCATACATAAACATATTAGACTGAAATGTAGCCTCAAGTATAATTCATCAGGTAATCCGAGAAAAAGACTAAAGAATAAACTAACCTAGTAAGCAAAAAATATCCATTACATTCCGAATTCTAAGTCTGCTAGGAAAAAAATATCAGAAGATTGCAAACACACGATCGCGAGAGATCACATGATCATTTTATTTTCAACAATTTCAAAAGTGAATCTATGGAAAATAGCAAAACGAAATTAGCAGCCCTTCTGTGCAAATTACCCCTTTCGGCTAAAAATGATAAATATGACTTAAATCTAAAAACAAAATGATAAATATGACTAATTATATGGGATTATTAATAATTGTATGGGAGAAGGAAAGTTTTTAAATGATTTTTCAAATTTAACTCTAAAATCGTATTAGTAGGATAATCTGCATCCATTCATAACGTCAGTCATTATCGTAAATAAACCGAAATTAGTTTTTAAACTAAAATAAATAAGAATTTTTCCTATCATATTTCACCATATTTAACTTTGTTGGATTAATAGAATGATTATACCTTTACATATATAAGCATCTCAGCCAGAAAAGAAAATTCATTATAAAGATTTGTTCATAAGCAGTAAAAAAGAATTATCTGAAATACGACTTTATAGAGAAAACAAATATATTTGTGAAGAGGGTAAATTTTTAAATGTATGAAAACATTTAAAAGCTGCAGAAGTTTACAGCTTGAAATCTAGTCAAGAAACCTGTATCACATTAGAAACCACAAAAAGTATTTTTACATTATTTTATATTAGTTTTGGAGTTAATGTAAAGTTAAAATACCTATTGTATGTTTCTGATGTAAAGTGATAATGTATATCTTTGACAAATATTTAAATGTTAAGCATTAAAAATATACACATTTTGTGGAGATATATCACAGTTTTTTTTTTTTTTTTTTTTTTTTTTTTTTCCAGTTTGCATTTAATTTTCATGTTTTAAATCAAATTTGGAAATTTAAATAAAACATGTTGGGGAAAAACAGCCCAATTCAAATTCGGAATAAAAGAATATTTCATAAAAATGAAATGCTAATGTATGTATGTATGTGTGTATGTATATATATATTCACACATATGTATTGCCTGTATGAAATTTTCGTTTATTACTGAACACTGAATAGAACAGGCTGTATTGTATAAACTGTTTTAAAGTTTAAATATATTAATGAAATATAATGACTTGTTTGAAGTTATTTTTAACTTAAATTACAAAATTTGAAACATGTAACCTCTCTTTTATATGTAAACGCAGAACATTTTGAAGTAAATATCAGAAATATTTTGAAAGATATCAAGAAGGAAGAAAAACATTACCGTGAAGATCTTTAATCAACAGGGGGCATGGTGTGAACGAAAAATTCTATTGAAAAAAAGAAATGTGTTTTACCTGCATAAAAGAAATAAAGAATTTATTATAAAAAATAACAACAAAAGCAACTATAAAATGTTTCCAATTTTAACTTTAATGCTAACACACATATTTACTCTTTTTAATTACTATTTATACACTTCTAGTCATTAAAATTGCAACATCAGGAAGGAATGATGTGACGAATGTCAAAATCAGGTGAAAGGAAGAAGTTGGGACATGCAAATTATTGTTATTTTTGACGATGCAGATGGTAGAAACGACATCTGAAGCACTACATAAAAGAAAAGTTGTGTAGTGGATTTCTCATTTGGAAAGTGCTTTGTAAGGTTGGAATTTACTCAGAATACCGTGTTATGTCTCGAATAAGAACAAGGAATGCTTACCAGAAAGTTTCGAAATTTGATAAATGCAGGATCATTGCCTATCAAAAGTGTAGATTATCGTTCCGTGATCCCCTGTCACACTGGTTAACATCTAACCACTGTCATGCAAATATGGAATCAATGGCTTAATTACGGTCATACTGAACGGCATGCAGGATCTCAACACCCTCCCATGACTAATGCCAGAGAAGACAGACATCACGGACATATTTTACAGGAAATGGGCAGGTTTGCAGGACGCTTAGTATCAGCTCATAAGGTGCATCCACATTTGCAGCAGCATGGAATATTAGTAGGGTGACCATTACTTCGACTTCCCTTGACAATGCAGCACAGAGAGAGATGTACACAATACGCACATATCTAGTTCGGATTGATGGTAATTTGAATGCAGATGGGTGCATTTCTGACATGTCCAGTGTTAATGCCCTATCTTCGACGCCACCACACGCCATGTTCCAAGATAATGCAAGACCACATGTTACGTATCATGTTCTGGCCCGATTGCTGCCCTGGTCTGTGTGGTCTCCAGATCTGTCACCCATTGAAAAAGATCTGGTCATGGGTTGCTGAGAGATTGGCCCGCAATCCCTCTCCAGCTAATACGGTTAATGAAGTGGGGCACAGACTTGCAGCAGCATGGAACAAGTTGCCTATTTCTATCATCCAAGCCCAGTTTGACCCCATGCCTAATGGGGTAAGGGCCGTTTTAGCTGCCAGGGGTGGCAACTAGTTCTACTAATTTTGCACACCTGGTAAACCTCCAAAATGCTTACAAATTTAATAGTTTTGTCTTCATGTCATACTGTTTACATGCAATAAATATATTTTTTGCATTTGCTTTCTTTCATGTTGTTGCAGTTTTAATGGCCAGCAATGTAAAACAGAAAATAAAAATGCAGTTATTCCTTAAAGAAAGCTTTACTGTACTGGATGCCTTGCCTTTAAATATTGTATTGTTTTCTTCATTAGTTTATTACTTTTCATGCATTGTTTCGGCTCACCAACGAACTAGTGGTAGAGTCGCTGAACTCTGATAGTTCAACTGGAGCTCAAATCCTGGCGAATGAACTGGCACTCGCTATATGGGTGTTTTTACATTTTTCCGCATGCATTTTTTGGCTATGAATCAGTTTTTTGTAGAAAGTCCTCCACGAAGGCATCCCTTCCCTTAGACAGTTAGTCCTGGTGTACTTTGCAGTAATCAAACAAAATAAACATGTATCATTACAAATATGGTTTGAACTACTATTTTAGGAGTATGCCAGCTTCTGATTAGAATTAAACTATTTACTTTAACAAAACCGCACATTAATGCCATCAAAGTCAATGACTCAATTAAAAAAAAATTAAAGAAAGAAGCAGAAAATTATCTCTATAGTAAGAATATTCTTTGTAGTTCTGAGCATCTAAACTATGTATCTCATAGGCAGCCTTCTTTTCTTGGAACGCTTGGAATAATTTTCAATACTCATAGAATTCTTGGATAAATTTTGTGAAAACTCGAAATGAAACTTCATAGTGTAATAATCCAATAAAATAATTAACAAAAATGCTTAATTGTAACTTACTATTGTTAAACTGTTCTTACAAGTACATGCATGCAAACTGTACAATTTGCAGGCTGCAAGTCAAAAGATTCTGTACAATACAATGAATATCAATGTCGTTCAGAATTTGCATTCATACGTACATGATTTCTTTGCGAATAGAACTTCCATTATTCCCACATAACTAATTTAGTCAGTTTCAAAATCAAAACTGCTTATATTTTGCTATCATTTAAATGTCCACATGTTCAGGAATATGGACTT